TATATTACACTTGAACATATGAATACATGTACTTCCTCTTTTGTGTTCTCTAAAGCATTTGTTCCACTCATTATATTATTTCACCTGGGGGTGCTTGACTAAACTTATTTAGGGGGTGTTTGGATAGGAAAAAAATAGGCTGATTATTGCTTATTGCTTATTGCTTAATCCCACCGCAATAAACAAATTTAAGTGTTTGGATAGAAGTCTTTAAAAATCAGCTTATTGCGGTATGAATAAGTCAAATAAGCTGATTTTAATAAACAAGGGGGGGAATGCTTATTGCTTATTGGTCATTTTACTCATATAAGCTGTTTTGTTTGACGAACACTTAAAATGCTTATTGCTTATTGCTTATTCCCACCGCAATAAGCTAATCCAAACACATTTAAAAAAAATGCTTATTCCCACTGCAATAAGCTTATTAAGCTAAAAACTATTTATCCAAACACCCCCTTAAGGAGCTTATAGCTTATTAGCGGTTTCACACCATTATAAGTTAAAAAGATGTTTGGATAAAAATAGATTATTGTCTTTGGAAACCGCTATTATCATTTTTTTTATAAGTTAATGCACTCTAACTTATTAGCTTATAAGCTAATAAGCCATAATCTAATAAACAATAAAATATTTTTCCAACCACCCTCTTAACTTTATACTCCATTAAACTCTATTGATGTTTAATAGATTCATGTCACTAGCTATTTTATCTAATAAACTCTAATAAAGTTTAATAGATTACTACATCAACATTCCACTCATTCTACTAATTTTTATGTATTTATCATTTTATAAAAAATAATAATGCATAAAACTAGAAAATAAAATTAACTAGAAATTAAAAATTACATTTACAAACTAAAGATTATAAGTTAGGAATTAAAAGTTACGAGCAATACATATAAATTAAAAGTATGTGAGTGTAGTACATCATACTATTCGACATGATTTAACATAATGTTCTTTGAAATGATTTAATTGAGCATATTTGGGAACATTTTATTAATATGTAATTTCATTTTGTTGTATTGTAATAATTAAATGTTATTGTATTGATTTAAAAAAAATGTAAATAAGTTTTTTTTATTCTTTTAGATGAATAAGAAATAAACTATGAAACAGAAGTTATTTACTTACAGAATAAAAATATATCATTTTAATTATTTTACAAAAAGTCAATTATTAAATAGAAAGTAATTAAATTATTAAATGTAAAATACATTAGAAAGTAATAGATATGTTAGTTAATATAGAATAAATTAAATAATTATTTTTTAAATAAAAAACCCATTGAACCAGTGCTTCAACTCTATGCATAGGTGGAAGTCATGGAAGAGTTGAATGGATTCAATGCCCACATCATCATATGTCTTAAAAAAGAAGACTATTTCCAAGAATGTATATAGTTTTAGCATCATGCATATGTAGTATAACTATATAAATATCTAAAACATGTATCTATATGCTGATTTAAGAGAAATAGTCGAAATAGAGAAGAGTTATCTTTAAGATAAACATCAAAGCATTTTCACTTACTCAAATGGTTGGGTACTTGATCAATAACATAAATGTGATTTTACATATTTCGACATACAAAGACTTATTTTAGGATTTTCAGTTAATATTTGCTTGCATGGTTAAATTTGATTATGTTAGTCTAAACGTTCTGAGTTTAATATAACATGAGTTGCGAACTCCCCAATGAGACATGTTAAAACTTACCATTAGAGTACGGTTTCTTGCATGCCAAAGACTTACTGTTACATTACACGTGTACTAGGTTGAGTAGAAGAAAGGATTTTATATAATTATATAGAAGAACATGAAAATGGTGGTCCATTCTGTAAGCAAATAAATGCAGTCGGAAAGCACAGTACCAGAGACTTGTAAATAGGATCAGATCAGTCTTATTTTCATCTCCCAAGTACTCCCACCTTTCCAATTATTTCTTATCTTTTGACCACATTTAATCACCATAAAAGTAAATAAGAAAGACCTGTAATTTAACGATAATTGCTGATTCTATATTTAAATAATATATTGTATAGAACTGCCAGTTATATTTATATAAGTATTTATAATAATTCGTTAATCCATGTCTAATTTAATCAGATTTTTTACAATACACAAGTGTAATGGTTATTTTTATATCATTAGATACAACAAATCACCACTTAATTAGGATAAAACGTTTTCTTTTTGTTATGATAATTTAGTTGTTAAATATGTTTAATTATGCAGAATTCTAAACTAGAAACTGCTGAACATGGAATGCTCAGAGGGATGAAACTTGAGAAAGCAAGAAATATTCAAGAGGCCGACCAGCCTGATGACTGTGGATTATCGTTATCACTATCATTGCAACATCCCTTAGTCCAGATGAGCAATGGTTCCTTGTCGAGTGAAATCAGCGAGACACACTCAAGGCAGAATACAAGTGATCACTCTTCAAACAAATGTAGTGTTAATCTAGATCTATCTATTGCTCTATGTCAGTGATGTATGCAAGCGTTTTTTCTTAAAAAGATTATGTCCCTAAGCTTTTAACATGTTTGTGGGTTACAAATAAGTAGAGATGCAAAACAAAAGGTTCAAAATGCAAAAAATTGATTAGAATATGAACGGTCTAGTTAAGTATAGTCCCTTTTCCCCCCCAAACCATGTGTATTTAGATTACTTTGAATGCTCTTAACCCGGTCTTGATCCGTATATCTTATTACTCATTAGGTCTAACCAGTGGCGGCCTTGGGATGGTGCGGGTGTGTGGTCGCACGGGGCCTCGAATCGTAAGGGGCCTCCCATTGAATTTTTTTTTAATATTATATTACTAAAAAAATTAAAATAACATAATAATAATATGTTAATCAAAGTATAATTGCACGTTACAAATCTCATTTGTATTATTAAAAATAAAAAAATATATATGTTTGTTAAATATGCTATCAATATCAGTTAGAATCTGACAACGATATATAAATATTTACACTACGAAACCAAAGCCTAAAATTTTGAGTATTTTGTTATAAGGTCAAACTAAGTATATGACAAGTGACACCCTTTTAGTTTTGAGGGATGCAACAAGAGTAAAATTATTAGTTCAATTGAATATATTAATAATATTTTACACAAAAGATATGGGGCTTTAACACACGATCCTTTCTGTCATATAATCAAGCACATGTTACATATGTGCGAAATGTATTACAAACTATTCAAATTTGTGATAAAATGGAATCCTAAAAGCAACATTTAAAGATGGACATTTAGATACAAACATTGCCATAACTTTTTGTGTATAAATCCAAAAGACTAAAAACCTTCACCATTAAAAATTGGACACGAAGAGCTTTGATTTCAATGATCATGATAAATCAATAGTTTTTTTATAAATGACATTGATGGGTACGAATTATACCTATTATTTTTTAATTTATAAACCAAACAAAATTTAACTAGCTAAAACACAATTAGACAGTGTATCTAGTCGAATTATAGAATATTAAAGTAAGCCGGATATCGATCACATGGAATTGTATTTTAATTAATAAAATAACTATTAGAAGTTAAACTAAGAAAAACAACTAATTTTGGGGGTTTTTATCTGATTTTGCAATTTCAGATTAACTTAAATTAATTACCCGAATAACTAAAAACTAAAGCTAACAATTAAAGATGATTGTAAATCAAAAGAATGAACGTACTTCCGTTTAGCTTTGAATTACCTTTTGTCCTATGGTTAATTTCAGTACATGGATTAATTTCAGTTGGTTACCAATATAAATGTTATTAGAAGTCTTAGTCAAATCTCCTAATGTTTTTATCAAGTTATGAACTACCAGACAATGGTCTTGCACAAGTGGTACACTTAATTGATTATGAAGATTTTTGGGCTATGAATGATAAATCTAAGATTAATTTTCTAAGATTAAGACAATAACCAAAGCACAAATTATGATCTAATTATACTCTCTCAACAGTTAAAGCTACTATATTTATCACCTAATCTAGGGTTTAGCCAATCACTAGCTTTAGCAATTTAAGATTCATTAACAACTAGGTAAACAAGTTCATGCAATCAAAGTGATCATCTAACTACACAAAACTTGAAATCTAAGTAATAAAGATTGAAACTTTTAGCATACTAGTGAGTGATC